AAATTTTGGTTGATTACCAAAACGTAACGTTGCATATATAATTATGGTGTACGTTTGGACCTTCTTCTTCTATCACCCAACTAAAATATATGTATACTCAGGTTGGATCAGATTTAAAACCATAAAAATGTTGAATTTGATAATGTATATTTTACATATGTGATTGTCCACCAATTATATTCTCCATCTGTTTTTGATAGCTGATGTTAATAACTTCACCTGGAATATACTCGTAGTACATTTATCATATAATAAGGCCTATACAGATGATATCTGTTTTTTCTTCAAAATGGATAAGTCCATTAGTAGTGTCATTCTCAAATTAAACATATAAAAAATGATAAAAATTCGTACAAACAAGCATGACGGGTTAGGTTTGAGTTTGACAACACTGGGTGATTAAAAACATTTATGTTTGGTTGGTTAGAAGGAAGGAAGATGAAAAGAAATAAATAAGTTTTTTACGTTACGTTTAGTAGATAAAAAGAAAAAAGATTATAGAATGAATGAGTAATCTTTTATCCTTCACAAATTTTCATGTTTTCAAATATGACAATAACAAATGACGTAAGATAAGCGAAATTTTTATAAAAGTTTTAAATTACAATACTATCATTCATAAATTACAATATTATTGATAGAGACGGGTATAATGATAAAAATAATTTAAAAATTCTCTTTCACATCCTCTTAATTGTCAGCTTGTTTTATTCTCTTCTATTCAACTGAAATGTTTCATTCATCTCGTTTTTTTTTTCAATTCCATCCAATTTTTTTACCTTCATACAAACATACAATGGAATCATAAATTAAAATATAAACTCTTAACACCCTATCCTAAGTTCCTAACACACACATTCTAAGGATATATATATATATATATATATAAAAGGATTCTCAAACCTTATAAGTAGAGAGCATTGTGAAATTAAGCTGAAAAAGCAGGATAAAAGTAGGGGAACATGTTGGATGGTTCAAAGTTAGAGTTGGTGATGATTATGATGCCAAATTGAAGAATAGGGTCCATTGCAGTACTGAGCAATGGATAAGAGCACATTGATGGAGATATGCACCACAAGAAACACCATCAACCACTTGTATGATATCACAGCCATTCTCACCATACACCTACCTATGGATAATGGATGTTGGACATCACAGATTTAATTTGGCATTCATTATTTGGATAAACCAACACCATTAAGGTCTCTAGCTATGGGAATTTGAATGTGAAAGTGTAAAATGAATGAGGCTATACCAGCATCAGGTTTTGTTTCACCTCCAGGTCCCCTCCACTTTCTCCAAAGCGAAACCCTAACAAGTGTGGGAAAAAGTGAAATCATAATGGTCCAAAGAAGTTCAATCAAAAATGAAAAAATAAAAAAATATAAAGAAATTCAGATTGATTATATATAATAAGTATGACAATCACACTCTTTACCACACTCGTTTGGTTATGAATAGAGATAAATGTTGGGCACAACACAAGAAAAATTAATGATTTACCAAGTCAGAAGAAGAAAAGTAATTTCAATTTTAAATCACAACACAAGATTTACATGGTTCATTTAAAATCAGGCTACGTTTATAAATGAAGAAATTTACTATAATCACGTAGAGATATTACAACACTTTGTAAATCCTCTCTACCCATTGTACTCACACCCTCACGAGATTGCCTTTTACGGATTGGACTATACATATCTCCACTCATAACTCACCTATATATTTTATTTCGGTAATTAACTCCCGTATATATTTATAGAGACCAAACATAACTTACCGACAGAGTTATCATAAAATTTAACGATACAATACGACTCTAAAATAAACACGTAATCATAAAAGAATTTGAAACATTATTATCCTAACAAAAAATGCTTTAAACAATTCAGTTTATGTAACTCCAAGACCTAATTTAATATTGAAAGGAGAAGAAAGAAATGGTATAAACTTTTGAAAAAAAATTAATGGATTTGGAGGGTTCGCTAAATCCATCAATTCTCTTCCAAAACTTAAAGTCTTAGATATCAGAATTCTATGTTGTTTTTGTTTTTTGTTTTTACTTTCTTTTCTCTTTACTATCTTTTGCCAAACACCATATGGGTTTAATACTGATTCTATCATTCTTCTTTGTTTTTTTCCCTTTCTCGTAACTTATCATTTCATTTTGAAAAACGAAAGTCAACTTTGTCAACTATTCACCGTTTTTAACATGACTTACACAGCCAACATTGGAAAGATATTATTTATGTAACAAAAGTAATGTTCTAGATTTGCGATTTTAGTGGGAGAAACTCCAAGACACATCGCTCGTTCAACAGACGATTTTAGAGAATTCAACGATTTGTAACATTGGAAAGATATTATTTACACAACATTTCTATAGAAAATTCATGTTAAATTTGACTCAACTGGATTTTATTGTAGATTTTTAAGTGTTTTTAATTGTTTTTTTTTTTTTAAAGTACTCCCTCACATATTTTACAAATTGCTCGTCTTGGTCTATGCAAATCCTTCATCTCTCCTTCAAAGAAAGAGATGTTCTATCATTAGATTAGTGACAAATCGATATATTTTAAGTGCATCATTCTAACTATCTTGTAAAACTCGCTTAAAATTTAAAATTTTCACATACAGCAAAATTTAAAAGAAGAAGAAAATAGAAGAGAAGAAAAACACAAGCAGAAGAAAGAAACACACTCAAATATTTTTTATTTTATTGTTTTGCTATTTGTTCTAAAGCATTAGGTATACAAATAAATTCCTTTCATGGGTTGAGACTTTTTTAGCGTGGTTAATGGAAAGTGAACTTTCTTTCTCTCTCTCTCTCTCTCTCTCTCTCCATTTAAAAGAAAAATACGATTGCCATAATGTTAGTGGAAATTCCAGGCTTTGGGATACACATGTTATACATGTATTTGATCTCAATTATGATGTAGAAGAATTGGAATGGAGTGACAAAATATTAATGGAAATACTAAAAGAAAAGGGTCCCATTTGGGTAAGTTCTACCAGAAAACTCACAACTTTTGTTACCCTCCTTTCTAAGCCCACTTACAACGGAGAAAGTCCAAAGAAAATGTTCCAAGGGTCAAATTTGGTATTTGGTTAGCTAAACCCTAAATTGGTCTCCTCCTTAGCCACTTTTTATTTATTTTTTTATTAATCCTGATAAATTAGGAAAAGGAAAACTCCAACATAAACATGTTTATTTGAGGAGTTGGACACTCTACCAACTAAACCTTCAGAAAGCTGAGTACTTTATCAATTAAGCGTTATAAGGTGAAAAGAGTAAAATGAATAGGTATGTAATACTAACAATTTAAATTTTTAAATAAAAAATATATATATTATAAGAGATACTTTTCCTTGTCGGATCTGACTAATATGAGACCACTTCAGTAATGCCCCTCTCCTAAGCCACTTACTATGAAAATTTAAAATAAAATATCGAAGGTCTCTCTCCTCTTTCACTGTCCTTATTGGGAAGACTTTGGGAAGTCAACAACCAACCTACCAAAATGTTACAAACAAACTAGGTTTCAAAGTAAATTTCAAATTAGTAGTGGATGGGTAACCTAAGTTGTTAAATTTCCATTTCTTAAGGTATTAGAAATTAAGACTTTAGAGAGGTGGATTATTTTGACTTATGATAACAATATATTAATTAATGAATGTAGTTGTTGGAATAGTAATATTTGATAAGAATTATCAATAATAATAATAATAATAATAATAATATTTGACAGGGCCCGTAATGATTATAATACGTATATTATAAAATTATTTCTTAAGAAGAAAAATGAATCAAAAGTTAATGATGCACCAAAATGCTTTGTGCTTCAAATCAAATGACTAATGACTTGATCAGGTCTAAGACAGCCCTTAAACAAAATCATATCGAATAGAGTTGTAATTGAGTTGAGCTGTTCACCAATATTTCAAGCTTGGAATTTTTAGCTTGATTTTTATGTTTATTAATTACTAATGTTGTTGTGAGATGGTAATAATTTATGGCATTGTGAAGCGTACTCTGTAGATTCAATCCTATGAACTCCAATTCCATAAGTTTAGTTTTTCTTTTCCCCATCAAACTATAAAACCCAAATTCATTCCTCACTGAAGATTTTGGGGAGGAAAAAAAAAAAAAAGAATAGCTTTGTTGTTGTAAATGGATCACTGACCCAACCTCAACCTGCCCATATTTTAGTGCACTAAAAGCCCAAGCCAAGTCCTAGTCCTGGACAAAATTTATAGATGCAAGCCTGTAGGAGCCTAAGAGCTGGGCTTATGTAGCTGGGCTAACCCGACTACCATATCACAATCCAAATCATACAACGCGGGAAGGGGGACAAAATCTAAGTGACACATAGTGAAAAGAGATCGAGAACGCACGGAGCATTTGATCGGCGATCATTTAGAAGGAAGTGTTCAGTTGTTCATTATCCCTATTGAGATGAGGCATGCAGCAAGCTTCCATGAGAATCTTTATAAACTTAAATTTCAGGTTTGGATATTTTGTTACTCTAACCCTCCACAATATATCTAAACCTCATTTTTTTCCCTCTTAACATTCACATTGTGGTATCTGAATCTCTTCTGTTTTGTTCCTTCGCAATTCACAATTGTTCACACATTAAGCATTATGTGTAGGTTGATTCCATGAATCGGGATCCTAATGCATATAGATACAAATGATCCAATGAGAGCAACAATTTCCAGAAACATTTCGTTTGAGCCATTTTCAAGTAATGTTCGATCAATTACGTATTAATCAATATTCGATTGATTGGCATTAATATTTATTGGCATGTACTTTTAGCGCACAATCTTCTCTACTTTAGGTGGTGATTTGAAACGACGGATAGCCTTAGATTCGGTATAAGTCTAAGCTTTGATAGTACTGAGATAAAGCCTAATTTCTGAAGAAATTAAATCCAAAGAAAGGTCCATTTCCAATAAGGTTGAGCTCATGAAAACAATGCAAGCAGCAAGCATAAAATTGAACACAAACTATTTAATTTATAGGGAACATTATTATTGGTCACAATTATATTAAAGTCACAGATACAATTGTACTCACCGACACATTTTCGGGTACAATATCACAAGTAAAACTTAAATTTGAACACAAACTAGCTATGAAGGGAGAATTACAACAAGAGTTGACAGACTTATGCAGCTGCAGTGATGCACTCAATTGCCTGTTTGCATATACCAGTCATTGTCGCCTCGGGTCCATAAACCTGCAACAGAACATACAAACAAAGCAAAAAAAATTCAGACCACCTTCCAAATCTACAATTAAAACCATTGTGTTGCATGTATGTATTGGTACCTCAATAGGGATGCCGATTTCCTCCCCAAGTGTCCTCATTTTCGCTAGACCCCTTTGGTAATTTGGACCTCCTCTTCTTACATAAATGTGCATTCTTGCGGCCTTAAGCTTTGATTCCTGTTTACAAAAACGACAGATTCAGCAATCGTGCTTGTAGCAAGAGGATGATGTTGAGAATAAGCATGGTCTCGATAGATGTAAGCTTACCTTCTCCTTCAAGGCTCTAATTATGCCGTTAAATGTAGCGGCAACATCAGTGAAGTTGGCGATTCCACCACCGATTACAAGGGCTCTAGTATGGCCATCAGGCTCAGCAGTTGCACACTGTAGAGAATTCATGAAATTAGTTGTAGAACTATAAGCAGAATTTCATAGCCTGATAAAAGCATATGTTAGGTTTATTGAAGGGAACGTAGAATTAGTTTTGCTAGTATGGTTGATAAATAAAAACAATTCTTCATCTGCAAAGTGGACCTGTAACATTAAATTAGGAGCGTAGAGGAAGAGTTCTTACATCAATTACAACTCTGGCATACTGCAACACCTCCTCTTCATTGGGAGCTCCACTGTATTCAGCATAGTTCCCAAGCTCAGAAGCATAGCCAAGATCTCCAACCTGATCAGGCAAAATTAGTTAGCATTTAAGAGAAGGACAACGATGATGGGGTGTGTGTGACAGAGAGAAAGAGAGTTTTAAGTCCATAAAAACTGCAACTGCATAGGATAAGAACCACACCGTATCTGCATAGATGACACTAGCACCTCCTCCAGCCACCATAGTCCAAATTCGGCCCTTGGGGTTCAGAACTGTGAACTTCAAAGAAGCACTTGTCTGCAAACAAATAACAAACTCGGAAATTTAATAAGATCCTTGTGGGTAAAGAAATTCATTGAACAGCATGTCATTTATAATCTTTTACCCACCTTGCTTCACAGAGGAAAAAAAAAAATGAAAAACTAAAAATGCAAACTTTTAAAAGCATGAACTTTTGGGTTTCAAGAAGCAAGCCACAACTCTAAGGTTTGCTTTTGGGTAAAAACATGAGAGTTCAGACAGAGTTGGAAATTTTTTTCAGAGATTCGAGAAAAAATCAACTCTAATAGCTTATGTTTTTCTTAAATCCAGGATTTATTAGTTTAAAAAAAAAAAAAAAAACAAATATCGAACACTTAATTCATCTATTTATACCTTTTCATCTAGACCATGTATAAAGCTTTCAGTAGGACTCATAACTCTTCCGAATGGCATTGGAAATTCAATATTGCCCCACCTGCAATAGAAAACTATTGTAAGAGGAGACAGTAATAGAATGATTAAATTGAATTGTTTGAGTTCCATAATAATATTATTGATAATGAAAAAACAAAGTAAATGTGCTAATCACTGAAAATTAATATACTTCTTGAAGTTCTTGAAAGCAGCAGTGTCATCAAGTTCTCCTCTCATATCCAAAGGATAAGGCTTTCCCTCGACCAATGTGAAAGGATTCATCTCAAGGAAAGTGAAGTCCAGATCTAACATAAGAAACAAATTTCCAAAAAAGGTAATGTAAATTACAACAGGATTTAAGGTTGCCTTAACAACTTGAAATGTAAAAAATAGATATATATCTGTTAAAGATCCTCAACATACCTAAAAATAGAGTAAAGATCACTGTAATGAAGTCCTCAAGTACACCTTTGATCTGAATAATAGAGCAACAGTGTCAGAAGATCTAAAACCGGTATTACAGGTATCTACACCAAGTTGTGTCTTAATTGCTACCCAGAGGGCATTACACATAACCTTATGTGAAGAGGGATTTAACAGCAGTTGGAATAAATTGTTTCATTTTTTGTATAATATTGATAGAAAAGGTAAAGGTAGGTATTTGTAACTATGAAAACAAAATTCAACAGAAAGAGACAGTATGACTGAACGTATGATTTTTTTTTCTTGGCAAAAAAACTTAGTGTTCCAGGACCTTTTGACTTTGAAATTTTGCAGCAAGGAATAAATAGAAGCAGGAGAATAGCCCACTGAAATATTGTTGCACAGAAATTACCTCCAAGGGAAGAGTTGCAACAAGTGGAGCGCATGTCTCTGATGTAAACGATACCCCTGTTGGGACAAATATAGTTTTAACCTGGACATAGAAGAAAAATCTTCCATTACTTTTTTAGATCTACAAAACAACATACTACAATAGCGGAAGGAAAAAGAAAAAGAAAAAAAATTGTTTTAGATTTCAAAAGAGTTTTATTATTTTGTAGAGTTAAACAGCGAATTTCATGGTCAAAAGTACCTTGTCCCAGTTCTCTTCGATATCGATTCCTCCACATTCAGAAAAGCTTATGCTACATCCAAGTCGATCTGAAACAATGTTAAGGTAAAATTCTTCATTGTGTGGGATAAAGGGTTCGACAATGAATGTTGTTATAGGTCCTTTGCATCCCCCCATCTCTACCTATTGAACAAAGAAGATGAATGTGAGCAACACAATTGAAAAATCACGTCATAAAAGGATTATATTGGAACCTGCTGAATTATTAAAATGAGCAACATAATGAAAATTTAAGTTACCTCTTTCCCAAGTCGCTCTTTCACAAAAGTATCAACTTGAGCCAAATCCAGATTTAATGCAACTAGACCACTCTTCCCACGCTTTCCAAACAACATATCGGGTTTCACAACAAGTTTCCCTGATGAAAGCCATGGTTCCTTTTCTACTAGCTCATTGACATCAGTTGATTCTGTAATCTATGCCACATTAAGGAAATAAACGCATCGTTAAGTTCGGTAAGCTAAATCTTACAGCCCTGCTTATATTGTATAAAAAATCCATTCAAACCATTTTGCATAATTTATACAACAAATATGAATGATTGAAAATAAAATAAATAAAAAATTCAAGCTTCAATCAGTGTTCACATTTCCAAACTGCTTCTACTCCAGGCTATGAAACATTAGAAAAATATATTTTGGAGGTCAAGCACAAAATTTGACAGACCTATGTAACAAAGTAATAGGTTAATTCTCAATGGTCATCTATTTCATGTTTCATTCATCACAGGTCATCTTGCTAGTTAAAGTGATTCAAAAGGATGGTCCAAAAAACCAAAACCTTTCAAGTTCAATGCTCCACATTTTGCTGATTTCTTACTGATCACCTAAGATGCAAGGATACCCCTCTAGAGGTGTCGTGCAAAAGTTGAACACGAGGACACGGTTGATACTTGTCTGACTCGGCTAAGAGTGTCATGGAGTTTGATTATTATTATTATTTTCTGGCTAGACACGGCATTGACATGACAGGGACACATTGACGCGATTAAGACATGGCGAGGTAGTTTTACAGTTATTTTTTCAGAAAAGGGTTCCAATGCCATTTTATAACTTATTATGGGTTTATAAAGCTGTAGAAAAGTAAAAAATAAATAAATAAATAACATACACATCCAGGTCTAACCTCCAAATTAGTGATTACATTGGAGTAAAAATCAAATTTTTGGATGCATAGTAATATATTATATTATTATTTTATTGTCGGATCCCTACCACATCCATATATATATATATATTAAAATTTGTTGTATTGTTGCGTTTGTATCGTGTCATACTTGTGTTCCGTGTCCATACCCGTACTTCATTGCCAATCACAAAATCTTTTGCAAGAACAAATTATTATCACCAGGTTCATTGTTACATAATTTACCAACTCTATATAAACAATGTAACTTCTGTTGCATATTTGATCAAATCTCTATAAAACAATGTAAGTTTCAAGCGACTTAAAATCCAATTTACAATATTCAAAGAATGATATTGCTAGAAATTTCTCAACTCCCATACAATGAAATAAGTGGACCAATTAACATGAATCAAAACTATCACATTCACCGATGGTATATACTTGGAAAAATAAAAAATAAAACCATGTTAATATTTAGGCATCAACTTAGAATTTTGGAGAGTCAGTTCCTGATGATACTAAACTACATGACAAACATTTCAAATCATTATGCATAGATTTAACATAGTGAGTCTTCTAAAAGAAGAATGGTTATGTTAGGCACCTGATTTAAAATCCTTTAGTCAATTTATGAACACGAGTCTTAAGAAATGGGATTTTTATGTAGCCGACCCTAGTTAGGTGTGAGAGGAAGCTCTGTTGTAGTTGTAGGTATAAGTTTTTTTTTTTTTTTTTTTTTCCAAGCAAACACACACACACAATATTGCTCCTAGCAGAGCTCAAACTCGGAACCTCCCTTTGGAAAGGAGAGATCATACAATTTGGGTTAATGCCCATTAGAATTTAGACTATAAGTATTTCTGAATAATAAAATGGAGACCCATTTTTAGCATAATCACACATTATACCTAAATTAAGAAGCTTATTATTAACAATCTCAATATGCCCAAAATTAGAGTTAAAAATACACATACTTGTGCCGATTTAATACCCAATTCGGTACCGCAGAGCCTCTTGAAGTGCTCCTTCAACAACCTCTTGGAATCATACTCTCGGATCTTCTTGCGTGCCATTCCTTCTTTACCTGTTTTCACAAAACCACAATATTAAGGAATTGAAAATTGATCTCAGATCTACAATCCCAGATCACAAGCGTCAAAGAAAACTTCAAAAAATTAGAAAAAAAACTGGAAATTAAATTCAATAAAAGCATAATATTGCATCATTAAACTCAAGAATTGAAGCAATATCTACACTGAATCGCATCAACACAGAACTACTGGAAATGGATGAAAAAAGTAGAGATATGTGGAGATCAAAGCTTGAAATTACAGAGGAAAATGAAAGACGAAATTAAATTACCGTTGATGTAGAGGCAAACGATGCTTTAGAGAAATTGAGAGAGAGAGAAGAGATATAACTGACACTGAAATGTTTTCGACTTAGCCGGGTCTATTTATAATTGAAATTTTCTGGTTTTTCTTATTTATTTTGTTTATTTTTAGAGTTCATATTCCATACGTATAATAATAATATATTATATTTATTTATATATATTTAGCGGGAAGATGTGAACATATGGACACATGTGACTCACCTACCAATGGAGGACCCAACTTGCAGTTTTCTCTCTGCTAGGATCCAAATCTTGGAATTTAAGTTGCACACCTTGTTTGGTAAACCCCTTTTAATTTATTTTTTTTTTAGTTGCCACTCACACACGCGCCTACTAAAGTTTAAACTCTTAACTTGTTGATCTTTTAATTTAATTAAAAATGGGCAATCCTAAAATAATGTATGATTAAATTACATTTGAGTTATGGTCTAATTACACTCGAAAAACTAATTTTTTTCAAAAAATTTAGCTAAAAAAATATCTATTTTTAAATAGTTAAAAATTTAAAAGTACAAAATTGAAGATCCTGATAAAAAAAATGAATAAAAGTGCTAATAAGACCGACACAAAGCCATCTTTCTTAACTTCTCAAAAATTATACTTCATGTCTTATTTTTAATTTAATATCATCGTAAACACGTTTGGGAACGATATTTTGTTATGAAATGTTTGGGACCGTGTTGCCCTACTGTTATGATTTTGGACTATGAAAAGTTGTCAAAAGTCAAAAACAAAAAAAAGAATGACTTTTTGGAATTTTAGTTTTATATTATTATTTATGAAGTATTTTAGTACCGTGTAAAATAAAACAAGACATATTAATCATATTTTTGTTATCAAAATTGACACTGTAATACTTTAAAAATAACATAAACAAAATACATGTTAGACGAGGCCTAAGTAAAAGAACACTCTGCCGTCTAATTCTCGTAATCCGAATTCGACGCTGAATAAAAATCCCCTCACAGTAGTTGAGTATAAAGTTTGAAAGAACACCAAACATAACTTTAAGTCCGTCAGCTGAAAATAATTGAAATGGCTGTTTTGAGTTGTACTAATATGATAAATTATTACGTATGCCAGTCAAAATAATATAATTGATGACCATAGTCAATACTGTACTGCTGCCTGAAAAAATAAATAAATAAATAAATAAATACTGTACTGCTTCTGCTGCTACTGTGTGTAATGTGTGTGTAACCGACTTAGTTTTGCAATTAATACGTTTCTCACATCGTTAAAATTCAACCTAACCGGAATATAACACAAGCTTTGGCAGGACATTGGTCACTCATAACTTGTAACTATCCCACTGGTCAGTCAATACATATATTTATATAACACTCCACCACTCAAAACACAGAGAGTATCACAAAATACATATATACCACTCCACCACTCTGAAGTCTAAACCCAGATGGTTGGTTGGTAGATCTTTTGCCCCGCGCGCGCGCACACACATGTTGGTTTATAATATGGGTCACGATTACGGTATCAGTATAATGAACTTAGAGAAAGTCAGTATAAACTGATTAATATAAATTACGTATCAAATTTAAAAAAGAATCACGTGTCGAATCATATGACGAAACACTTTATATAGACACACAAAACCACACAATATAAATATATTTATATATATATATATACATATACATATACATATATTATATACCCATATTAAAAGGAAAACTATAGTGATGTTCACGTGTCAAGAAAAGGGTGTGACGGTCCACATGTGGATGGTGGAGTGTTCAACATATAAAAAAACTTGGTGGTGAAATGTGTGGGGGTATATTTTAAGTAAGTCTTATGTTTCGAGGCTGCTGGGTGTATTATTTTGAATCTTGACTCCACTACCAACACATTTCCAAGTTGACTTTTAATTACAGTCTCAAATGGATGGCATAATTCAATGGTTTAATATTATTTGTATTTTGGTGACTATATATATATATATATATATATTATTTGTATTTAAACCATGCTACAAGTTGACTCAATTAGCATATAAGCACAGGTAGTGACAGCACAACCATTTTTTCAAAGTGATATTCACTGCAACCATTTTTTCAAAGTGATATTGATGACGCAACAAATTTAAGAATTGACTTAAGTAGTATGAACATATATATATATATATATAACGAAAATTTACAACTATATAGGTAGAAGAGAGCGACCGAAATTAATAAGGGATGAAATTATTAGAATTGACTTTAAAATTTTAAATGTTATAAAAGAGTGGGATTAAGAAAAGAATAATAGAAGAAGAAACATATTGTTTTTGTTTACTATTTTTCTAGTTGTATTTTTAAAACGGACATTTACTTTACTCATTAGTCCATACAATAAATTTCATTAAAATTTTGAAAGTGCGTTTGCTATTTTTTCTGAAAAATGTTATTTGTTTAAAAAATCACACAAAAAATACGTTATTATTCCGGAATGTTTTTTTTCCCAAAAATAATATTTTATATAAAAAAAAACTATTTAAATAGTTTTCATCACTTTCAAAGTTTTAATTTAAATTGGAAATCAAACATTTGAAACCAATCCTTCTTTTACTTCAAAAGTTGAAAAAAGATTAAAATAAAAACAATGAAAAAATAATAATTAAGGATTGAAGATGAAAAAATAAAATTAAATAAGGAATTGGCCTTTTTTCAAATGTTAGTAATGCAAAAAAATTACACTAAAACCATATTTCTTTTTCTCTCCTTTTATATACATATATGTATTTTATTGAGAAATTATTAGTTACCGTGTGTTTAATCCATTCACAAACTTTTACGTAATTAAATATGTTAATTTTATTTAATTTTAAAAATTGTATGATAATTTATAATTGAATTATTTACTCCTAAATTTTAAATATTTTTTCTATTTTATTAGAAACTTATAGACTAACACTCGACAAATCGAGATACTTCTGTCCAATGGAACCACCCCGATTTCATTGGCATCATATGATATCTTATACTCGTGAAATGTATAATTTGGAATTTTTCATGAGGGTTCGAGTTTTTAACTTTGGTGTACAACATAGACATGAGATAATGAATTTAGTTTAGATTATACCGCCATTAGGAACTTTTAAAAAGAAAAATAATATAATATCCAAAAGTTGTTTGAACCTATCGACGGATTATTTTACTACTCCCTCCATTCCACTTTAATTGTAAAGTGGAACGGATGGAATATATGTAAATGAGAGATGACATTATTATTATAACTTCACTCATTATAATAATGTTATCTCTCATCCACGTAAATACATTCACCGTGACCCTTTTAAAACTAATATGGAGGTTTCTTACTGGTGTATAATTTACTCAAATATAATAATAATAATAATAATAATAATAATTCAAAATTTTAAATACTTGTCTTTGAACAAGATAGTCTCTCTAAACCAAATTGACTAGAAAAAATCTCTCAAACAAGTTGAGAATGATTTATAGGCCCAAGTTTTCAACCGGACTTGGGCCTAAGTAGCATGGTTCTGATCTTATTATAGCATGGATAAGTTGGGTCGGATCAACCCAAGTTTTTTTGTCCAATTAAAAACGGTCTGATGGTTTTCAGTTTTCACTTCACTGAACAACCCTCGTCTTCTAACTTATAGGGTTTGGTTAACCTCGCCAGTATACAAGATTTCGCCCATATATTCGCAGTTTTCCGATCAGGTAACCTCTCGATTCGGCGTTCTTTTTGCAATTTCTATCTGATTCATGAAATTCAATCGACTTACTGATATATATATATATATATATATATATATTTGCGTGCTTTATGTATATGTACCTGTGGATGTATATTCATTTCATATGCCAAATTTGATGCTGAGTTTTGCAGTCTGATCGAAGATATTAACGGTCCTTCATCGATTCATTGATAGTTAAAAAGAGATGGATGCGGATGCAGTTGAGCAATGGAAGAATAAGCTAAATCAATGGTTGCAGCAAGGGGAAGAATTCATTCATCAGATACCCCCAATTCAACTCTATGCCGCAATTGGAGCTGTCTTATTGACGACTTTGCTTTTCTTACTGTGTAAGTCTTAAATTGTAGTGTTTGTTTTATTTTCTCATTGCTCCACAAATTTTTTTTTTTTTTTTGTTTTCTATGACTAAAAATCAACTTACCCGCTAGCCACTTTGGATTATCTGATGGTTGCAACTCCAATTGCACACAATCGCCTACAAAAACTCAAACCAGAGACCCCTAAAGAATTATAATTTCTTATAATAAAAAGTAAGTTAGGTATTTTTTAACCTTTTAACTTATATGTGTATTTGGTTGTATACAAAATACATGAGCTCTGTCACCAGGGTATAGTTATCAACTTAGCATATGAATGACCAGATAGCACAAAATTATGTATATCAGAAGTATTATCACATTGTTTATATTATCTTTTGTTTCAGTTATGTTAACATGGGATGAATACGTTTGATTCGTTTATATAATCCGCTGATATTCCATACCTATTTTGTAGCTTCTGCAATACACTAGCTGTTGTTTGACCTCTCATAACCCACCAAGTTTAGGATAGAAATTGAATTTATAAGCCTTGATGCAAATGGGGGGATCATTACTTGGTGCAATTGGGATAAGCTTGTGCTGATAAGCTAGAGTACGCAATGTCAAGTTTCAAAGAAGCCTTCTTTGTGCAAATAATGTCAAAGTTTAGTTTCGTCTCAAGTCTTCCGACCCTTCCCCTCCCAGTACTCGTGTAGATGAAACTGGGTTATGCACTTGAATTTTAGGATGCACATTTGGGAAGTTTGGCTCCTAAGATTAGATAATGCGCACTTAATGTCAAGAAATGAATCATATGCCTTTCATTGCCAACTTGTGAGAAAAAGAATAATTAGGTTGAAAAATCAGCTTTGAAAAGTGGTTTTGACTGAATAATAGCTTGTTTCCTAGTATAATGGTAAAAGCTCGTGGGTTTTATTCTTTAATGAATAATCTCCTTCAATTCTTTGTTTTGTTGATTACATAGTCTGGAGTAGAAGACTTCATGTTCTACGTCATTGTTTATTATTTTGTTTCAGTGGAAGGTTCAAAGTTTGGTATCCAATAACTAAATTTTCTCCCTTTGCTTTATTTTGCAGTTCGTTTGTTCAAGCGCCCATATTCCAACACCATTGTACTGACCGGGCTTAGTGGAAGTGGGAAAACTGTTCTTTTCTATCAAGTAAGCATTCTCAATGGTTGAATGGTCTGATTTCATACACTTTGATATCTAAGTCAATGATATGTTTTATAATTCGTAGAGGAGAGTTGTGCACTGTGTAAGTAGAATAATGACAAGTTAATGTATTGGTTGAACCCACTTATCTAAGACTTTAAGGGAAACTATGCCAGGTTGAGCTTAAATCACACAATCTGAAGAAGCCGCACCATGGATGCCCGTAGTCGGACTACAGTAATAGTTTGGAGATGTATTATCATATTAGTTGTTACATATATTCCTTTATTCTCTCTTCATTTCCTTGTTGTTCGTGTGTGTGTGTGGAGAAAATAGTTAGAAATTAATTTGTTAACATAATTTCAAATTATTATTAAAGAACTTTTTGCCATCCAGTTAAATGTAGTTAAATTTTCAGGAGGTGAAAGGCATTATACTTGATGATCTAAGTCAATACGTAACCTGTTCATGTATTTTTCTATTATTCTTTTAAGTTGACTGATGGTTATGTGTATGCTAATCATATGGATCCTCATTATGCTCTGCTGTTAATCTGATTGTTTGCCAGCTTCAGGATGGATCTTCTCATCAGGGTACTGTGACGTCAATGGAACCAAATGAAGGCACTTTTGTGCTACATTCTGAAATGACTAAGGTACTATATTTCACTTTGGTATGTTGAAACATACACATGGACAGGCATGCTTAAATGTATATCATAGAAATCTCAATTTTCAGAAAATGATGCCATTTCGCTTTCATAAAATGAGAAAGTGCCATAAATCCTGTTAGCCTCTGTTATAATGCCTATTAAAATATCACCAATTGCAGTTTGTTTTCGCCCCATCTTCTTGTCTCTGTAGAATGTTTAACTACAGGTTTGATTGAATTGAATCCTCTTTTTGCACCTTTTACAGAAGGGAAAAATAAAGCCTGTTCACATTGTTGATGTTCCTGGCCATTCTCGTCTTCGACCCAAACTAGATGAATTCTTGCCTCAAGCAGCTGGCATAGTTTTCGTAGTGGATGCTCTGGAATTCTTGCCAAACTGTCGTTCAGCTTCAGAGTAACTACATTACAGCAATATGTTGTTTATGGATGCTCATATCATGCACATGTATAGCTTTATGTTATTTTTATGATTTTTAACATCTGACCTTTTATTTGCAAAAGGTACCTCTATGAGATTTTGACCAGGGCAACTGTTGTTAAGAAGAAAATTCCTCTACTCATCCTCTGCAACAAAGTGGATAAGGTGACTGCACATACCAAGGAGTTCATCAGAAAACAACTGGAAAAGGAAATGTAAGACACTTTGGTCACCAAATGTTCAATTTTAATATAACTAATTCTGTGCTTGTCTCTCTTAAGGGGTTGGAAGGGATTGTCTGGCTACTAGGGCTGTCTAATTACCTCGTGCTTGTAATGACAAAGAAATCTAAATTAGGAGGAGGGAAAACAAAAAAGACAGAGAGAACCTAGTCCATTGCATAACCTTTATTCACAGCAACTTATTACTGACTTAACGGATGTAGTGATCTGTATTGGATATTTTGGGTGATTTTAAAACTTTTTGCTTATATTTGAGACTTTTGATATCAGGTGATCTTACTTTGTTACGTTATGCAATCACTTGTAATGTTTTTTACAGATCTTACTTTGAAGCGAAACCATACTAATATATTGGTTTTTTTAAACAATTACAGTGACAAGCTCCGGGCATCAAGAACTGCTATATCAGATGCAGACATTGCTAATGAGTATACACTTGGGGTAGCTGGAGAAGCCTTTGCGTTCTCTCAATGCCACAACAATGTGATTGTTGCTGAAGCTTCCGGTTTGACTGGTGAGATATCTCAGTTGGAGCAGTTCATCAGGGAACGTGTGAAACCTTAAACCTGATATTCTATTAGATATCCGGAATATGTGATTGTACTTAATAGAGAATTCTTTTTCCTTGATTGCTTAAGTAATCCAAGGGAAAGAACAATTTGATTGTGAAAAGGAAAGAGGGAAAAGAGGGGGAGGTGGTAGTGCAGAGATCCTTCTTTTACGATGCATATTAGCCTTGTAATTTTTGTTAGGATGCATTGCAAATGCTAAATTCGTTCTGGTTGTTCATGGTCACCTGATATTTGACATGAGTTTAATTTGATTTGGATAAATCCGTTTTACCGGTGACTAATTGCCATAAACGTATAATTCTTATTTAGCATTCATGAATTATCATTCAATGCAGCTAAATTGATAGATTTTCTTTTGTCAACAAATCATTTTCTGCCAATTGAGCCCTGCCTGGCTTGGCCAAAAATGAAAATTTTGCACCACCTCACAAAAAAAGGAGGAAATACGAAAACAATGTTTGCAGCTTCTGCAATCTCCACTTTCTTTGCTTGCCTTCAGTATTTGCTTGATTCATCATCTCCTTGTTCTCTGCCAACTTTTCTACCATTTTTATCAGTTGTTCTCTCTCTCTCTCTCTCTCTCTCTCTCTCTCTATATATATATATATATGCATGTGTGTGTGTGTGTGTTTGTGTGTGTATATATATATATGTTATTATTTGCGTTATCTCTTCTGTTAAAATGATTTTCTACATACAAAATTGCATTGCAAGGAAGAACACCAATGTATAGTCCATCATCCTGGGGATCAAACATGCATCATCATGCAACAAATTGTATACTTTATCATTCCCTCAACGAAAGTTCATTATCAAAAGCATCAACAGTTCTCTACTTCTCTCAGAAATAATATCAAGAGAAGAAAAAATATACCCCTTTTTTGGGAAAGTAAAAATATATCTCTACCAGATAACTACCCAGTTTTTTTACAGATATGGACTACATTTGGAACCCCCTCCAAGAAAAGAAGCCTGAATTATTGTAGGTGAGATCAACGCAAGGAGAGGAGTTGGCACCGGTGCAATGCTTAACTTGTCTCTGGTGCTGAGGCAACTAACTTTCTCCCCTCAGGCTCTGATAGGCCTCCGGGAATGATCTCGAAAACCAAAGTTGCTTCAACCTTACTATCAGAGCGAAAAAACCGTAGCATGGGAGATGCATCAATCCAACTGCCAAGTACCTATAAATTTTTTATGTCAACAGAAAAGGATTAAGCTATTAAGTTACAATGAATGCTATTGGGTAGAATTCTATGTTTAATTTGTTGCTATTGCAAGAAGTTGTCAGCCAGACCATGATGTGTGTGTGAGTGTGTGTTTGTGCGTGTGTGTGTGTTTTGGGTTAAAATGGTGTGAAGCCACATGATTCAATACGGGTTAGCGATAATTACAGAGGTTGTGATAGTAATATTCAATCTTGATCTGTTGTAGTACCAGAAATCCCTCCATTAGTTCATTTGATAAATGCAAAAGTAAAATACCTCCCTCACAAAATTCTTGTCCATTTTCGGCATTTCAGCCTTTAAGGAACATGCATTTCGTGCATTGTCCTCTTTTGAAATTCTAGAACTATCATTTTTTGGATTTTATTAAGGTAGAAACTTTTTGCTAATAGTTTCTTGTTTGTTTATGTTGAAAGTCGGAAATATATTCACTCTGAGGAGGTGGTGAATAGCAACAATAACAAAAGGAATTATAAGTACATACCATAAGGGAGCATAGGAGGATGACAAGTCAAGAAATGGATATGGCCACCTGCACCGAAGGAAATTATTATCATGAATTGAAACTCAAATTTGCCAATGGCTTAAAAAATGAACAAAAAAACCAAGTAAAATAATAGGAATCCAACATACCACATTGAAACAAAAGCATGGAGGATCCATTGGAAAATGACGTATATAGTGGTCCATAAAACAAAATACGCAATTCGGAAGAAAGGGAACCGCTGGGAGAAGAAAACTTTGGTTGGCATGGATAAAATATCAAAATAAATTTGTTTTGAAAACATTATGAGACTGTAACATACCAAGCAATTCAAAATCACATCACCAAGGAGGAAGATAGCGTTGAATGAGTGCATAATCACCTGCAGCTGCAATTATAGAACATTTTCTCAATTCGATCCACAAATAAAATAAAATAAAATAATAAGCAGATGCATATCAGTGTAGGTCTTTGTTGCATAAATTTTATGTGCATGAATGTTAGTATGGAATATGAATAATGAATGCATGCATGAATACTTGCGTCTATGTTCTATATTTTCTACCTTCGCCACAATCAGCAGTCAGTGCTAATATAACAGTTCAGCGTTTTCTAACTTACTACATTGTAATAGAGGTCAATTAATTGCCATGAACTTATGATACTGCAATTCAAGACAGGGAGTCATAGTTAACGCACCGAACTTGGCCAATAATTGCCAAAAATGTTCTCCATAAATCTTGATCATATTGAAAAAGGATCATTTAGCTGAATTTCTGCTTTTTACTATTCAGAAAAAGAAATATCACAAATGGCATGAAAAGAGAAATGGTTTCAACTTGAGTTGCTGAAAGAAACAAGACTTATTATTGTCACACGTCACGGAAAATTCTTCATATATTGAGGCATCTTCAAGTGCTTCCTGTTTTTGATCGTGCAAAGTAATTGAATAATTCAAATCCAATAGTTTACTTCAGTGCTAATTGTAATTGTTCAACCTTGACAATGATTTCCAATTTTCTTTCAAGTCGAATCAACTTCATGGCTCAGGCCTTTTCGGTTTACATTTATAAATGTGTATTAAAGTGAGAGGCTCCTTATATATAAGTAGTACACGGCATTGAAGTAAGCAAATATGCCACTAATAAGTTTACAGAATTCGTTTACTCACAAATATGATTCCACAAAAGAAAATAAACAAAAAGAACTAGAGGGTTCAAACTTACAGCATCCAATTTGTAATCTGTGTCAGTGAGAAATGGATAGATCACGAACCAAAAGACGCAATCAGTGATCGTCACGGCACCTGCACACATCTTTTCACAGAAGGAGAAGAAAAGAAATAAAAAAGAAATCTCAACAAGATACTTCTGAAATATTTATACCACTTATAAAAGGGTTGATAATTGAACAGAAGAAAAGAAAAGGACAACAATACTTAAACGCCATACATCTGCTATGTTATCCTTGCACAAGTAAATTTACAATAATACATTATTATCCCATTAAGATTGGTATTGAATTTGACAAGTTTGAGTGCTTTTTTCTCCATTGGATTGATAACTTTTTTTTTGGTTTAAATACAATCTAATTTTCAATTCAAGCTAATTATAATAGTGTAAATGATACCATGCCATTGTTTGGTATAATATCAGATTTAAGGCGTTTAACAACAATTTTACCAATTTTTCTTTTACGAAAAAAATATATTAACAAATATTTTTTTATGAGAAGCAATATTAATAGATAATTATTAGGTAAACATATTATGGGTTGTTGATTTCTGACATTTTGCTTGGGAGTGATTTTCTTGTAATTCATTATTGCAATTAATTTTTTATTAGCTAAAATGGAGAACCTTTTATATCGTACCCTGAATATATACGCAAATGTCACTGAAAAGGAAACTTCTTATTGTTCACTCTTGATAGTTAGTCTACAAAATTCAATAATGAAAATGAAAGAATTGGACCACTTCTAATGACGTCTACAATTTTATGTCCAACTCTGAAATATGTTTTATGTATCTTTAGTTTTGTAGACTTCTGTTAACGAAATTGCACTTAAAATTCTTCATTTATAATGAACTCATAACTATTCTTATAAATGCACATTTCATGCCAAATTAGGTTTTTTAATCGGATATTGCATCACATTACGATTGGCTTTTGCACGCTTAAAAAGTTCCATTCCTTTCAAGCCTGTTTGGACTCCAAATGATATATTACTTTTTCTGAAAAACATTAAAAACTCCAAAATATTCTTCAGTCTAAAAATTCCATATAAGTAATCCTTGGTCATAAAAACCACCCAAACTATGAAATCCTGAAGTCTAAAAGCCCAACTCTGAGATAATTGTTGGCTCCTGTTTAAGAAATGCTAATTTGACAGTACTCCTAGAGTCCTAGGACCTAGATTTGTTACTAAAGCTGAGATACGGGCAAGTGACACTAGAACAGCGTTGTAGGGTGTACAAGGTGAAAGTGTGAACCATAGACGAGGATGATCTCTCTCTCTCCCCCCTTGGCCTGTGATGGGGGTGATATATGGTCTGTAAGTTGTTGGCCATGAGGATAATAATGACTTTGTTTTATGTTAAGGTTGAAATTCGTAATGGTGGTTGCAGAGATGTTGATGTTAACGGTGGCTCAGTAGCTCTTGGTATAAGATTGTTATAAATGAATGGGCATTTAAGATATCTTTGTCGTCAGGTTTTCTCTCATCTAAGAATATTGGTGCAACTTCTTTTGACTAAATAATATTTCTGAAGGGTCTTTTGGCATTTTTTTTTTCTCTTTTAGGACATTTCACGTTTACTAAGCTTTTAATAACTATTTTTCTTCATTGAGTTTTACCATAGCAATGACAATGGTGAAAGCTAAACAAACCTATTTGAATATATTTTTTTTTTTTACCTAAACTTATTTGATTGACAATGTGAACACAATAGAAATTTTTTGAAGTTAACTTTATATTTGTAATTCTAATCATTTTTACTTATCAAAAAAAAAAAATTTATTTGTAATTCTAATCAACTTAATTGTTAAAATTAGTACATAAAAGTAAAAAACTATGAGAATTTGTTAGTAACAATATTCATGATTACAGTCCTAAAAAATGAAAGAGCAATGTTATGACGAGGGAAAACTTGTGATGAGCTTTCGCACTCATCCATTGGATTGAGTGTGTGACATCACATCATCACCTGACACTTGATCCAATGGATGAGGATGCAAGCTCAAGTGAGAGCACCCTCATCATAGCACTTTCCTAATTGAAATGAATAAGTAGTCTCCCCAAAAAACTGCTCATTGTCCACTAATTAGATAGCTTTATAAGTTGACCGGTGTTCCCATTTCAATACGAGCACTTCACAGATTATTTATTAACAGTGTGGCTCAACCATTATTATTATTTTTTGTCAAATATGAATTTTTATCTTTTTAATCATTTATATATTAAAATTTTAACACCTTATAAATTTCTTATAAATGTCACAATTCCTTATTCCAACTATACTAACTAAAACAACTGGTCTTCGAAGAATAGATTCTCAATTAGCCAGACTAATTATCAAAAATGAAAACTATAAGGTAGTGTTTTTTGTAGCTAATCTCTCACATGCAATGCACAAATTTCACCTAGCAGGAATAAACCACATCTAATCCAACAACACTTAGATATTTGAGTTCTGACAAGCAGGTTTGTCTGAATGAGTTCATTGTGAATAGACAGTGGGATGATAGAAAATTCAGGTCAGTTCCTCTGAAAGTGAAACAATTCCTCTATGCTTTCAAAATTCAGGGTGGTGAAGATAAGATGTTATGGCTGGATAAACAGATCACTTTTAAAGCTGCATGGGAAGCATGTAGGGTGGTAAGGCCTAAGGTATTCTGGTTTTTGCTGTGTTGGAATGGTGGCAGACCTAGATGGTCTGTCTATACTGCTTTGATCCTACAGGACTCAATTATGACATACTCCAATCTTCAGAGGAGAGGCATTTCTTTGGCTTCTAGGTGTGTATTGTGTGAACTTCATGTGGAGGATGTTGATCACTTGTTTGGGGGTTGTAACTAATCTGGAGAAGTGTGGTGCTGCATTGCTGATGTTCTGAACTGGAAAGTGCAGAGATTTGATTCTATTTTGGGATTGGCTCATGCTATTGCTCAGCAATTTACAGTCAAGAACCAGAGACGCAAATTGTTTTACATGGTGTTTACAGCCACACTTTATTACATCTGGTCTGAAAGAAATGGAAGAATCCATTGATCTGCTCCTAGAGTGCCTGCCTTGCTAACCAAATGTATTGTGTGGGACATCTTGGATGTCTTGGGGGTATGCCTCCAAGATGTCATTGGATAGGTTAGTTTTAGTTGAATTTCTGTGCAGCAAGGGTATGCCCTTGCTTTTTCTGTTCTCCCTTCTGTTTATGGGCTTTTCCATGTGAGGGTATGCCCTCATTGTTGTAATTGTACCACATTTCTTTATCTATAAAATTTTCCTCCACTTAGGAAAAGAAAAAAGAAAAAAAAAAAAAAACCGCATCAAAAGCATCTTAACCCTCACATCAAATCTATCTAGGTAAGTCGCAACAGTGCATACTCCTCACCACACAACACTCTCTCCATCCCCCTTCCACTTCTCTCATCTTTACAATTGAAGTGAGTAGAGGAAATGTTGTAAGCTAAAACTGCTATACTACCTTCACTTTTTCATAACTACTTATTGGTAATATATATATTTTTTTCATGGGCAAGAAACTCACACACACCACTCACACACCTACTACGCTCCTTTGGAGACTCGAACCCTCACCATCTACTTTGGGAGGTAGAAGAGATACCACTGGGCCACAAGGCCTTTGGTTACTTATTGGTAATAATGGAGGAATGGGTGACACAAACTAATTAAGACTTGCAGAAAAGATTAGTACAAATTCACTTTTTAATGACAAAATAAATTTCAGAGACTATTATTAGCCTAGTATCTAGAAAATAAAATATAAAAAGAATTTTAAAAATTAGCTCAAACAAATCAAGATTTTTCCGTTAACAATCAAAGACAAATATCAATCAGGAATAGTAAGCAATGGGCGTCAGTAGTACTAGAAAGGACAGCTTAAATAGTTAACCAAACTGGTAAATGTTAAGCCTATGACTCACATATCACATGCATTTTAGTGTTCTACAAACACTTCCACCAAGATAATAACTGTTTACCCTTAATTCTTCTCAAATAGAGGGCTCCAAGACATTTCTGGTCCACCAGTAACCATGAATGCTTGGTTTTCGTAAATCCTGATCAAAAGCTAGCCAAGTTAAGAACTAGCTTAAGACTGATAATCCTATCCCTGCTAGTCATTGATTAAAAGAAGACACTCCAGCCTGGATCATTTAAAAATGACCATTAAGGTAAGAAGTTTCTAACATGAAGAGAAACAAAACATTAGATGCATAAGAAATGTAGCCATCTCTAGCACATACTACATAATAATAGACAACACATTGTGTATTTGATAGACGCACTATTCAACATTTTCAAGATATTTTTATAGGAAAAGGAACTTTGAAATTTTCTCCAGAGACAATTAATTATTGTCCAAAATTTAGGGTCTTCAAAATTTCAGGCTTATTTTAGCCCCTGCTATCCCCTTCCCCTTTCTACAAGGAAGAAGATAAAGAAAATATAGTTTTTTCTTATGCTGGTAAATTTATAAAGCCTTTGGCCCATTGACGTCCATCGTCTATTGACTCTATAATGTTATGCCAAGACTAACTGTTGTTTCCACTTCTATTTGGAGGTAAAATCGTAAAAGCATATGTTCAAACAATTCAAACTGTTATATTTTAACACAAATGGTGGCACGGTAATTTTAAGATTACCTCCTCCCTAACTATCATATCTTCAATAGTGAGAAAGATAACAAAGTTTTATTTAGTGAAAAAAATGATAATAAAGTTCTTACTCAATGTTTCAAACCCAAACCATTTATAGATCCACAAAGGGACAGCTAGATAGGCTAGCAGTTCAACTGTGTGGGTCATAGGGTTGAGCCATGAAATTATATACGGAATTGGATATTATATTATTGAATAACTTATTTCTCCAAGACAATGGACCAAACACCAGGAAATGATACAGTTGCATTCTAAATGTAATCTAAAGAATCAGCAGATGACAGCTGAATGGAACTCCTGGATACAATTTTGTAAATTTACAAGTTTTGCAAATTAGTTCAAGGAAGAAACAGAATTGATGGAGAGAACTTACCTGGAAAGTAGTTTGAAAGGCGTAGCCCCATATGCTGGCAGGTTTACGAACATGAGGTTCTTCATTGGTATTTAAGCTTTTGGAGATGATGGGCATATTTTCATTTTCCCCAAAAGTGGGAGCCAAGAAAGTGCCTCGGTCTGCATCTAAACCCAATTGATCAACCCTATCACCACCAACTTCATTGCAATTTTGGCAACATCCATAAATGGATAATGAAGATCCAAGCTACAAAGTGCAATTGAGAACATAAGCACCGTACTTGCATAAAAATGAACATTCCCAAGTCAAAAATTGACATTAACTCAAAATTTAAAATTAAAAGAAATTTTGAACAATTGAATCAATGACACTTAGATTTTCATTCACTTTATTTCGGAGGAAAATTTTATTCTAATTATCTGAACAACATATACAATTACAATATAGGCCCATCTTTTTTAGGTTCCAAGAAGTTGAAAATTTAAAAGGTTCATTACATTTCCATGTCTAACATATTTAACCAAATAAACACATACACACAGAAAAATCTATGCAGGAGGGTGTAGGGATGTATTAAATACCCCAAAATATATTGTCACCAATGCAAACGTCCACCTGTTCAGCACCCAAAAGAAAAAGTCAGAAAAGTGGGCAACATTTGATCCTTATTTTTCTATGATCAACCATTTTTCGTGTCATGTTCTTCATCTTAAGGAAGGTTTTCAAACCCTCCACATTATAGGTTTAGTTGAAAGTAAAACAGATGCTTTCTAACTACTTATAGAATGCAGAACAGTCATGAATTAAGAAAAAACAATTTAAGCAAGACTCAGAAAGAAGTCTACTTATTCAAAAATTATTTTCAAATTAGTCAAAATTTTCTAAGGGAAGGTTCAATGTTTGTGGAGACAATAACAAATAATTGTGGAGACTATGACAAGAAACATCTTAGGAAACAAAAGGTATGCTTAACAAATAAACTACGTTGATATATAGAATGCATAGCCAAAAGAAATCATTTATATAAAAAACAACTCCTAACAAATTGCCAAATTTGGGCTTCTCAAACCAAAAATAAAACTAATTGTTCAAACCTCACTAAGTCCACGTTACATTGGAGCCATTATGAGAATAAAGATGAAAAATTAATACAATAGATGACTTACTGAGTATAATAATAAAATATGCCGCCTCCATCAACAACAACATTAGCGATGAGTGATGCTAAAAGCACACTGAAAGCAGTTATTCTATAAGCAAGCAACCAAGCAGGATGGATTGTTTTCCAACATGTCTTCCAAGCTTCATCCTCGTACAAAGACCCTGCGGTTTCTCGCTGATTATCTCTTCTTCCATTTCTTGATTTGTTGAAACCTTCATATTTCCATATTAAAATTGATGCTGCTACCATGTCTGCTAAGATCCATATTGCACAGAAAAGGAACCTCCAGTTTAACCAATAACTCAGGGTGGTTGTATCATCAGTCATGACCTTCCCGAGTATGGTTTGACCTTTCTGTTAAGAAACCCAATGTTATTCCTATTTGCACCACATTGTTGATTCTATTTCACAAATCACAATTATATGACAAATTATTTACAAATCTTTATTTTGGAAGCATAAATGAAGAACTGCATTGGATTTACTTTAAGAATAGAATGTAAAAGTTTAGGAAAACAACTCTTAATATCAGGGAAAAAATAAAATAAAAGAGGGACAACTAAGCCAAAGTTCAGCAGATAAAAGCCTAAGGCTTCGAAACAGAAGCAGATGTTTGATGATATACAAACAATGTGAAGCCAAGAGAAGTTCTAATAGAATGATGTTCACTATCCCCAAATAGGATAAAGGGAAAACCAGTGCATGAGAATCCCGCCATTGCGGGGACAGGGGAGGGTTAGTTGTACGCAACCTTATTACCGCCTAGGCTATTTCCTTATTTCGAACCAATTGCCTCCAGGTCACAATGGAGCAACCTTACCGTTGCACCAAGGCTCGCTCTCTATCCCCAAATACAAAATAATACAAATGCACACATGATAAAATCAAAGCCTTCCAACTGATCGATTGAAACAAAAACATACAGCATTCAAAGCAAAGTTGAGAAAAAGAAAACTGTGACTTATTTTAAAGTCTGTATAATCCACAAGTACAGAAATCTAGGGGAGCACAATAAAGAAGCAGAAAATAGGACAAAAAAGTATCAGTAAGCAGAAACAAAAATGTGAAAACCACTACCAACATGAATGTTGTTAGTCCCCACTCAGAAACTACAATTTTTTTGTTCATAGGCAACATAAACATAAAACCTAACTATTTTGGTCACATTAGTACATGAAAAAAAAAAAAAAAAAAGGCTTCAGATTCTAAGCAGAACTAAAATGGGGATGCTTACAATTCCTCAAATGAAACGCAGAACATAAATGGGGATGCTTCGCCACTTTATATACTTTTAGAGAGAGAAGATTAAAGGGTCGCCTCTCTCTCTCTCTCTCTCTCTCTCTCTCTCTATATATATATATATATGCGAGCTTTGTGTATAGATGACAATCAGAACAAGTAAAAGAAAGAGGTTTGTGGGTTACCTTTTCTTATAGGGGATCGATCTTCTAACTAACACTTTCTTCTTCTACCAACACTTCCTTTATAGATTCACATTGTCAGGGGAGGGAAGGATGGATTGTTAGGTCAACTTGAAGACCAAGTGACAAACACTAACTGCTGTAGCAGCAGCTTCTGGAGAACAAAACTCCACCACAACATCAAACTTGGACCAGTAATGGTATACCAACTCAATTTGACAACTTAAAAGTTGAACCTTTTTTTATTTTTTTACTTTTTTATTTTTTTTTAAGGTATATTTTTTTTTAAGGTATACTAAAAAAAAAAAAATTATATATACATAACCTATATATATCAGTTTTTGGCGCGATTCCAATACTCTCTTCTAAGAGCTTCCGCACCGGGCTCTTTAAAGCCCAAATCCAGCGAGCCTTTGCTCTGTAGGCCTTCCGCGGGCTAGCTAAAAGAAATGGGGCCCAGTAGCGATGGCGGGCCGGCTCGCTGTATTCAGCGAGCCGGCCCGCGATCGCTGAATTAATTTTTTTGTCTTTTGTTGCTTCAAAACGGCGCCGTTTTGGGCTGCCATTGTTTTGCCTCATTAGGCCATCCTTGCATAGTGCGCAAGGCACTGTTTGGCAGAAATTTTTTTTTTTTTTTTAAAAGCTAAAAATAGGTTATTTTTAGCTCCTTTTAGGGAAAAAAAAAAAATCAAAATAAAATTCATTAAATAAAAAATATATTTTTGAGGCACTATTTATCAAAAAAAAAAAATTTGGGCCAAAAATAAATTCAAAAAGCTTTTGATTTTTTGTTTTTTTTCCTTAAAATTTGTTTTATTTTTTATTTTTTTATTTTGCTTTAAATTGTAATCCTTATTTTTTTTATTCCAATTCATTATTTTGTAATCCTTAAAAAAAATTTATTTGGGCCAAAAATAAATTCAAAAAGCTTTTGTTTTTTTTTTTTTTTTTTTTTTTTTTCAAGAAGCTTTTGTTTTTTTGGTTTTTTTCCTTAAAATTTGTTTTTATTATTATTATTATTTTTTGCTTTAAATTGTAATCCTTATTTTCTTATTCCAATTCATTGTTTTTAATCCTTATTTTGTAATCCTTATTTATTTGGGCCAAAAATAAATAAATAAAACATTTTTTTAACACTTTTTGTAAAAAATTAAAATTACAAATTTATCTACTTATTCCCATAAAATTTTCTAATACTTATTTTCTTATTCCAATTCATTATTTTTAATCTTAAAAAACCATTACATGATAAAAATTCTAGTGCACGAAATGTCATAATATCTTAAAAACAAACAAAATGCAACATAAATTAATAAAGCCGTTAAAAATATAGCAGTTACAAATATAGCCGTTTAGGAAAAGTTAAAAAAAATAATAATAATTTTAATTTTTTATTATTATTTTTTTTTTAGAGTAAAAATTCGGAGAGTTTGATGGAGTGCATGTTTTTGGAGAGCGAAAGCTGTTGACGTGGCTTTTAGAATTGCTGATGTGACTCTTGAAAAAGTTGATGTGGCGTTTTTAGATAGCCAAAATTCGAAGAGACTGGTGCAGATGGCCTAAGGCCATGACAAATGTTGTTGTTAATAAGTTTATTATTTTTCTATATTTTATTTAATATATTTGCAAGGAGTTCCCAATACCTTTGTCTATTAAAAGATTCTGATTTGACAGATTCTTTCATATATATGCAATAAATAAATATTAAAAAATATAGTTTAATAGCTTTCGTGATTCTTTTTAATAAAACATGACTTTTTGTCGTGAAAGAATTTTATTGATAAACTTCTAAATTGGAAATTTTCAACCCGGATCTGTGCTTAAAATTTGAGACGATTGAATTTGGAAAGAAGAAATTAAATTGGACTTGAAATAAGGTTTGAGGGTGGATTGAATTTGGAAAGAAGATTTTAGATTGAAAATCAATTAAATTGGACTTGAAATAAGGTTTTATTGGCTGAATTGAGCATGGGTTCATCATTCATCAGTGATTTCGATTGGAGGTGTCCTGACAATTTGTATTAATCGTGTTCATCAAGACATGAGTATTCCGTTAAATGACTATATGAATACGACACAATTATTACACGAACGACACGACACACATAACATGTTTAATAAATTGGTCAATACATGACACAATAAGACACTTTTAAGTCATTTTTTACATGAACACGACACATTTATTCAACACATTTACTTAAATGAATCATTTTTTTTTATGCGAATACGACACATTTATTTAAACAGATTTATCGGATGGTAAAGGCATTGGTGAGTTAAACATGACACATTTATTTACCATGTTAATTCGGATCGACACGATTACAACACGAACATAATTAAATCAAACCCAAACTCATTTATCCCGCTCGTGTTCGAGTCGTGTCAAATATTGCTCCATTCATCATCTCCTTGTTCTTTGCCATCTGCTTATTGATTTGCATTCTTGACCTCTGGGATGTTAGTCATCTTTGAATGCTTTTGCAACTTCAAGTCAATTTCATGTCGATTGCTCGATCATTGTTGGCTTCATATGCACACAACACTGAATTTAAACATTAATACTTAAACACCATTAAAAAAATTTAATTATCAAAATTATTAGATTACTCTTGGGTCAAAACCTTTGAATCAAAACAATGTATTTTAAACCCTTCTAACCCACCCAAAATTTTTATAATATTCTATCTTTTGAAATTAAAACTAACCCAACCCATTTATTGATATGAAGGCATCAATGATCAAGCAATGAACCTCTTAATAATAATAATAATAATAATATTAGTATCACAGGGGCGACTTTAGGGGTGCAAGTTGGGTAGGCCAAGTCTAAACCAGTCCTAATCCAAACTCAACCCGAAATCGGGTTGGGTTCGGCTGGCCCAATTTCAACTCATAGCTGGACTCCTAAGTAACCTAAGCCCAACAATTTCAGGTCGAACAAGTTGACCCCCTCAAATTTTTTTTTTTTTTTTTTGAAGACATTAATTTTTTTATGCTTCCAACTCTAATTTTATTTTTATTAATGCAACCAAAATAAAACGTATCTTATTTTGTTTTAGAAATAAAAATTAAAAACTTTTTCTCTTTTTATTTGTTATTAAATAAACTTTAATTTTAAGATTTTCCCAAAACAACCATAAAACAAACTTATACATATACAAGCAGCCGAGATCAAACCAAAAGATTTTGAACAAAATGTATGAGAGAGAGAGAAAAGCTCTACAACGTTAATTAAACAAGTCTTTCTTTCTTGGTATATGAAACATGGAATTATTTAGGATTGCAATCAATTATGTATTTATAGACATACATGATTTAGAATTGCAATCAATCATGTATATATTTATAAATTTATAATAAAAACAAGGGTAAATTACATTCACCTACCCTCTAGTTAGCTAAAAACTCAAACAGCTCCTCTTAATAATCTAAAATATCATTTTCCTCCCTTAAAACTAACGTCTGTTGAGCTCAATTAATAGATTACAGGATTTTACTAAAATGACCTCACATTTTAGCATATTATTTTAATATAATAATGGTAAATTTTTAATAAGACATTATTGCCCTTATACATATATCAAAACACCAGCACATGTTTTCCATTTTCTAACTGAAAAACCACTAACACGTCCATTTAAACATGTCTTCATTCTCAGAACTCTTTAAGGCTCAGTTTGGTAGAGTGGAAATGGGAAGAAAGGGAAAGGAAGGTGATGGAGAGTGATTAAAAAAGTGTATTTGGATAGAATGGGTGGAAGGAAGGAAAGGAGGGGGAAGGGTTTGGAGGGTTATGTATAGCTTTGTACAGTGATTTGCTTATCCTCCCAAAAATGGGAGAAAATGAAAGGAAAGGGAAGGCAATGGTTGATGAAGGAGTTGTGATGCCAATTTTACCCTCAAAATAATATACATTCAAGTTACATACAAGTTAGCAGTTGCAGAGAGAATGAGAGATGGCGCGCCGGTGGCTGAAGCTTGTGAATGGCAAACCCGAACTGGAACAGCGGCGATGGAAACTGAAAGATATGGGTTTTGATTTTCTGAACAATCTGAAATGATATATCGGGGTTTTGAATTTTTGATTCTTGCAGATAGAAAGATAAACTGAAATATATGGGTTTGGGTTTTGAACTTCTGAATCTTGTAATACAGAGAGAAAGATAAACTGAAATATATGGGTTTGGGTTTTGAACTTCTGAATCTTGTAGTGTAAAGAGAGAGATAGCGATAGAGATAGAGAGAGAGGGCAAGTTCAGAGGTTAGAACGATGATAGAGATGGAGGCGAGAAAGGGGAGGCTGAAATGATTTGCCCTAAATTTTTCTTTTCTTTTTTTGTGGCCCAACTGTTGATATAGGAGACTATATATATTGGGGAGGCTGAAATGATTTGCCCTAAATTTTTCTTTTCTTTTCTTGTGGCCCAGCTGCTGATTTAGGAGACTATATATATATATATATATAGTATCCTATACCTGCACAAAAATTTAGGGCAAATCATTTCAGCCTCCCCAATCTCACCTCCATCTCTATTATATATATATATATATATGTAAGGGTATAATAGTCAATTTATTAAAATAATTCCCTTTCCTTTCTTTCCCTTTCTTTTCCGAAACATGATTATTATCCTTCCCTTTCTTTTCCTTCATTAACCAACCAAACACGATAGGGGGTTAAAATTATCATTCCCTTCCCTTTCCCTCATAACTAATGTTATCCTTCCCCTTCAAACCCACCCTACCAAACATACCCTAAGGAACGAAGGAGAGACTGCAGAGACAGAGAAAAAGAGTAGTGTACAAGCAAAGGAGAACGAAAAAAATCAGAAGCTTCCATTTGCGTTTAAGGTAAGTTCTTCAAACTCATTTATGTTAATGTTTTAAAATTTGGGTTTTGGGATTTGTTTAGAGTTTTAGATCTTCAAACTTGTTGGGTTTGCTTTGTGTTTAGGTCATGAAATTAGGGTTTTGGTAATGTTTTGAAATCAGGTTTTGGATTTTATTTTCTGGGTTAATTTTTTTTTTTTTTTTCCCTTTTCAAATTATGCTTTGAAATTATCGTTTTTGAATTTTTTTTTTTTTTTTTTTTTTTTTTTTTTTTTTTTTTTTTTGTTGGCTTGTTTGTGATCTTCGAACTTGTAGTGTTCATTTTTTTTTTCAAATGAAGTTTCTTGTAATGTTTAGAAATTAAGGT